CTTCGTATTATATTTATAATCTTCAATAAATAGGACCTAGTTTTTCCCATACTTAACAAAAAATTCTACAGTAAGCCCGTCTATACCCGGACTTTTACCTTTCCTCATAGACAGAAGAGAGTCGGTGAGTTCTTTGAGAGTAATCGGTGCATCACACATGTCTCTTTCACTTTCCGTCACTCTTTTGTCTATGAGGTTACACATATCCTGAACATGGGATGTATCAACATTTTGATTGGCGTACAGACATGAATAAAAATCAGCACAATGATTTAAAATAGAGGAAGAATCGCTAAAAACATTACCGTTACCATCTACAATTTCATTTATACAATTTTTATTTTGGCGAAATTTCTCTAAATTTAAAAAGAACTTGGTGTTTTTGTCACCCTCTGTTGCAAATGTAGTCTTACTACGGAGAATAGCTCCCTTACATGCCTCTAATTCAAATTGCTCAAGTTCGTTTTCTAGTTCATATAGGTTACTAAAGTCATATGAAGGATTAACAGCCAACTTTTCATATTCTCTTTGTAATCTGTTTTGTATTCCGAAAATCCTAGCATTCTTAGCCTTAGCCACTTTGCGAGAGTAGATTTGGGATGTTGATTTGGCCCTATATTTGAGATTATCCCACCATAATAGTGGATTTGAAGTGTACATTTCGTTTTTAATTTCATTTTCTATAAGCTCATTAATTAGTTTACAATATTTATCATCATTAAGAAGCATATTATTCAGAATAAAAATGCCTGGGCCTCTATCACAATTACTAAGATCCAATTTACATTTAACAATATTATGATCAGATAATGACGTATCTATAATTTGACAATTAACTGTCTTACAAACCAGGGATCTGTTAATAAGTATATGATCAATTCTGCTGACTTTTATTTGACCTTGAACATTTGCAATGCGTGTATATGCTCGCTTACATGGGTGCTTATGCCTGAAGATATCGACTAAGTTATGTCTTATGGCAAAGTTGTTCAGTGCTAAAGAGCTGGCCCTATTTGTTGTCATACCCTTAGCCCTATCAATATAATGTTCAAAAACCTCATTATAATCACCTGCAACCACATTTTCTCGTGCTGGATCTATGTATTTATCAATGTCACTAAAAAACTTAATTCTTTCAGTTGCATTATTAGGGGCATACACTGACAGTATTGAAAATTTACGTTCATGGCAAACAAAGTCAACTCTAACTATTCGTCCATCGTCATCCTTACATGTTGATTCGATGGTTATAGATTTATATACATCGTTTCGAATCAATATCGCCACACCACGACACACATTGGCCTCCGTATAGTTACTTACGATAACACAACCTTCCCACTTTCGATTTATTAGGCTAACCGTATCTTGGTCCCAGTAGGTTTCCTGCAGACACACAATTTCTACTTTTAATGACTCAACTTTCTGGAGCACCGCACCAATTTTATCTTCACTTCGAAGTTTATTGACATTAAAAGTACAGAAAGTGAATGCTAATGTGGAAGGGTGGGGGGAGGGCCTCACATTATCGATTTGGCACCACTCTGTTATCTCTATCACTCACTAACTTCTGTATCGTTTTAATATCTGGATTTGTAACTAGTCTTTATCTTCTGGGTCGGGGTTTAAGGGAAGGGGGAGGGGTATTTGTATTGACTTCACATTCTGTGTTAAGTGGGATTTCGTCTGCTTTAATTATTGAGAAGTCATCAGGTATATCATTGGTGGACTCAGTATCATAAACTCTGGTCGATTCACTCGGATTAGCGCACTCACGTTCATTAGCGTGTGTGGTGAGATCGTTCACTTGTTGCATGGGTTCACTGATTGGAGTTATTGAAAGTTTTACCTTCTTTGAAACCTGCTCAGACACTGAACTCTTACTCACATCACTAGAAGTCACGTTTACCATATTTTCTTTTGTTGCGACATCGCTATTATCACTCAACTGTCCACTAAGTTCATTCACTTCACTGTCAATGTCATCTTCGAAATAATTATTGCATATACAATCAATATCGAGTTTTTTACACACATCACAAAATTTAACATTGCATTTGTTTCCCATGTGACCAAAATCATGACATTTTCGACATCTAATTTTGGGACATTTTGCAATTAGATGATCGTCTGAGTAGCACTTATGACACACATTTTTTTGATTATTATGTAGGACTCTGAAGCTCTTCATTCCATGTACAGTCTCCAGATTAACAGCCCATGGGAGTGACTTGACCTCAGGGGGAAATATACATTTCACATGCCTTATGCCATTCTCAATTCGCTCATATGCATCAAAATAATGTCTTACAACACTTCCCTCTATATCTATTTTGAACATTTTTAACTTATTTATCAAAATAGCGTCTTCAATGTATGAAGGAATGTCCAGAAATGAAACAATTGTGTAGGGTGAATATGGCATCTTTATAACATACTCTACATCGCTAACTCGAATACCGCCACAAAGTTTTTCAGCATTCTCTTTACTATTAACAGCTACTTGAATAATATTAGGCCTGCATTTAGTCACTGCATATACATTTCCTACACCAATTAAGTTTTCTATTTCGTCTATAAACGCATTTAATTTAATGTTTCTTAACTCACCCACAACGATGTCCACAACCAATTCCTTTGAATATACCCTTTCACTCATTTTACATCCACAATAAAGGAGAATCCTTTCCACAGGTCGAAAATACAATCCAAGTTATACAGGTGAAGTTGAAGACCGATCACTTGTAACAATTTCTCACTTGACTGAACGCCGGAGCTCACATGATAGGTGATTACAGTACGACGACCGAAGCGAGAATCATGAAGTCCAGAGTGCTAACCATTACACCATAGAACCGTTGTGGCCTGACTACCGTATAGGCCGCATCTTGCAAATCTGGGGGTTTGGGTTAGGGTTAGGGCTCAGCTGTGGGCAGGTAACAAATCTACCAGCCTGGCCATCATATTCCTTGCCACCTTTCCTCACTCATCGGTACATTTTCTTACTTATTTGCTTCTTCTCTTTCTTATTTCTTAAACAGGAGATAGTAAATTAAATTGTTTAGAAAAAGGGCGAGCGGTATTTTCTCCTCCAGAGTAGCAGCAAGTGTGCAGCATTAAGAAAAAAAATTAAGCTTGGAGATGCCGGGTATCGATCCCGGTACCTCTCGCATGCTAAGCGAGCGCTCTACCATTTGAGCTACACCCCCGACAAGATACGTCCTGATGGTAGCGGGATTCATCCTTAAATCGAACCATGCACTGCAATTGTGTTAGACAACTGAAGAATTATATCAAGCACACACAGCATATTTTATATCCTAGTTTTGAAAAATGGTCAAAAAATAAAATAATCCGAGGTTTCGACGAGGCTCGAACTCGTGACCTTCTGCGTGTTAAGCAGACGTGATAACCACTACACCACGAAACCAGGTACTCCAATTCGTTAAATGTTTGCTTGTCACACTCTGAGAGTTTAGGCACAGAATTT